GCAGCTAGCCTCAGCCGCTGAGTGAGCTAAAAAAGGGGCCCTCACGTTGATGTCCTTGGAGGCGAGTTACTTGTGGGGCCAGTTGGGTTGGAAGTATAACTTTTTGCCCAAATTACACATTCTTAAAACTGTGTGCCTTTTTAATTGTGGATATCTATTTTAAGACTGGGGGAGTATTTTATATTACCGCAATTGCATCGGAATAAAAAAGTACTTTTTTGTTTTCTATTTTGAGGAACCAACATTTGGGCGTCTACGACAAGATATTTCAAATAAGAAAGTTTAATAGTTGATTTTCAAGGATGATTTTTTTTTCTTTACAGATACGTTACGCTTTTTTGTTAATAAAAGTTATAGTACGATTCCCCAAAATAGAGTTTTTGAAAGTAAGCCCCCAAAATAAGATTCAAAACGAAGTGTGTTTCATTTTGATGCAATTTGTATCAAGTTACGGTTTACATGTGTGTCGTTTTCGTTTGTATTTCAGCTCTTTACCTCGGCTAATTCCTCCTCGTGCTTTGGAATGAAAGCAGTATCAACGTTTCCGTTTTTGAAGTCCTGAAACGAAGAGATGAACAAAAAACACGAATCAAATGAATGACTATACGAAGATTTTGGAAAAGAAGAAAACATGATAACATGCTTACTTCAATGTCGAGAATTAGCTTGTGGTACTCGATTGTCGTTGGAACCCCTGAAATTATAAAACAAAAATATATATTTTCTTACAAAACCCGAAAACTGAAATTGATGCATTATGAGGGCAAAGAGATGGATGATTCTGGAGAGGAAGCTTCAGAAGAAAATAAAAAGAAACGAAAACTGCACAAGAATGAATTGTGGCGGAAATGGAGGTGTTTATCGTACCTGTGATAATGGTATCGTTTAGAGCCCTTTTCATGCGTTCGATTGCCTTCTCTCTTGTTGGGGCCCATACGATAAGCTAAGACCATCATCAAGAAGAAGTTAGGAGTTAAGAGGCGAAAGCAACACAATGTGGATGCTTAAGCAAGATGTAAATGTATGCAAACAAGATGTAAACAAGCCACGAGAAACGTAATATTTTGAGAATTGTCAGAACCAACTATTCATGAATGTTCTTCATCTTGAATATCATGCATTTCCATTCATGATATTCATCTTGTATCGTTGGTTCTCACGATTCTCAAAATATTTATCGTTCTCAAATGGATCTACCCCAACAAGCCATATGCTTTTATTGATGAATTCGATGAAACTTTAGACATGAAACCAGACCAGACCAAACTGAATCGATGTACTCCACTAGAAAGTAGGGTTCGAAAAGGTGGGATGTACGCAGATCTGTCTTAGATGTCATTATATACTTTAGACATGATGACTCCAAAACAAGTTTCCTGGTGGATGATACATTGACAAGTACGTGAACTAAGGGGCCGTTTACCTAAATGCTTACCCGGTAAGCGCTTACCATTAGGAGTCAAGACTGTAATTTATTTTACTGGATAAGAATGTAGTACATCAAAATGGTATTGTATACAACAATTTACTCGGTAAGCGCTTACCCGGGTAAGAGTCATCACCCTCACTTACCGAGTAAGACTCTTCATCTTTATCATTGCTCTTACCAGGTAAGGATCCGGTAAGGAAAATTACCCAGTAAGTACTTACCGGGTAAGCGTTTAGTAAACGGCCCCTAAGTTAATGTAATACAAAGATTTTTATGAGTGAATTAGAATTCTACTGGTGTACTTGTAACTTTGTTGCACAACAACCATTGTGCTTGTGAAAATGCCAAAAAAAACTAAGTTCGCAATTTCTTGCGTTTCAACCACCGAACTTGTCACCATTTTGCAAATGATACAAGAGGATATTACAAACCTTTCCAAGAAGAGAATCATAGCTTGGTGGAACAACGTAATCAGTATATACATGGCTATCCATTCGCACGAACGGACCTCCAGATGGCAAGTAAGATGTTATTCTCCCTGATATTCAGCAAGGGAAGGAGTCACAAGCTCGTTCATTAACTGATTAAAAAGACAATCATATCTAACAACTAACAAGTACAACGGTAGTACATGCTTTCATCCCTAATCTTTTGTAAAGATGCTTTTGTCAACCCCCCCCCCCCCCC